GAGGTGTGCGAGTGGTGGAGATCGTGTAAACTGATAGTAATATTAATAGTAATATTAATATCTGCTTTGCTTGATTGCAGTGAGATTGGATGGCCTCCTGCTGCATAGTACTCATTTCTCAAGGCGTGCTGCCTGAGCTGAGTCTATTTGCCAGCGCACACTTACCTGCATGGAGCTGGCCATGAGATAGACAAATGGATAGACAGATGTCGGGGCACCGAAAAGCGTTGAGAAGCTAGAACTCTGAAACTACTCGTGCGTTCGTGCAGCTCATGGGCGACCGGCGCTATGAGCCACAACTCCGGTCACAGCTTACAGCAAGGCCGGGGCATGGAAATGCTATATAGTTTATTATGGTATATTATAGCCAGGTAATACTACTACAATATGAGAAAATATAATAAAATGATATAATGTAACATAATATAATATTATCGAAAAAACAACAGAATGGAATGGGAAAATGAAATGGAAAATAGTGAATTAACATAGTGTAACCGAATGTAATATTATATTGTATCACATCGTGTCTTATCATATTATATGATATCATCTTAGTATGCTGCCGGACTGTATCTTATAGTATGCTATATTGTGTTATACTACTGTATTATACTATTTTGTGCAACGTGTAATGTCTTGTTTGTATATATTGCTTTTGATTGCATACTTTTGTAACAAAAAAATCGCCTGGACCAATCCGAAGGCATCGCCATGTCTTCAAGACATCACTGCGACGCTTACAGGACCTGGCCCATGCCTTAGCGTGCCAAGAGTGTCTGGATGTTGGGGATCGAGGGACCCTCAGGGGCCTGTGGGCGGCATAGCTTGGATTGGGCCGCAGAAGGTCACACTCTACACTCCTAGGCTTCGGCCACTACAGGAGAATGGATCATGCATGGAGCCAGAGGCCGGCATGGATCTGCAAATGCGATCGCCGATGCGCTCAAGCCGAAAGAAGAACAGGGGATGTCACCAACGTTGCAACAGAAGCATTGTGGACTTTGAGGCCACAGGGATTCGGGGCACATGGCGAGTGTGTCGCAAAAACCGGCCTAGGGGTAGCTCCGACCCTTTTGCAGCATGTGCGCAACAACAGATCTCCCGCTATGCCGGCGGTGCTAGCAGCATTCCGATTTCCAAGTACCACTTGTGAGCGAGAGTGGTAACGCAAAGTCGCTTTCGATCCCCAAAGCCAGTGCCTACAAACCCGCAGAAGAGAGAAGCTCAACGAATCCATATGACAGGCCATTCCAAGCTTCTAAACGAGCCTTTGGCCGTGCCCGGTTTCCTCGTGCCAAAGCCGCTGCTGTGCACAAACGCAGACGGTGGAGCTGTGGTAGTGGTGGCGGGTGTGGGTTTGCATCCTCACATCTAGCCAGATCTTTTGGAAGATGCCACTTTGGTCATGCTTTCCTGCAGAGGATGGTGTATGGTGTACTTTGAATTGAGTGCAGGAGTGACGAGCCAAAAAAGCGCATACTTAAGTGCATTCGAAGCTGTGTTGGTCTGATTTTATTTTTTGATCAGCCCGCACACAGAGTGTCGTCCCAACACCGAGACCTCACCTGGCATGTCCGAGTTTATGAGAGCGTAAATGCCGTGCCCTCGGCGCAAAGTCGCTACTCGAGTGAGTTGAGGCGCAACAGTAGCTTTGTTGTGCCGAACATTGTCGCCCTCAGAGTTTCGCTGTCGTAGTCCGCATGCGCATCGAGAGGCCTCGTTTGGATTGTCTGAGTTGCGAGAGCGTAAACGCCGAAGTGTTCAAGCTGTGAAAGAAGAAACACGTCGAGCTGAGCTTAAATCAAACAGCCAGGAGCTTGAACAACAAGCCAAGGAGCTTAAACCAAAAAGCCCAAAAAGCTTAAACCAAAACACCCAAGTAGCTTAAAACAAAATCCCAAGGAGCGTAAACCAAAAAGCCAAGGAAAGTTGAAAACAAAAAACCACGGAGCTTGAAACATAAACCCAAACCAAAACACAGCTTACAACAAAAGACCAACGAGCTTAAAACAAAACGCCAAGCAGCTTGACACATAAAACGAAGGACAAAGCCAAGGAGCTTAAAACAACAAGCCAAAGTGTCCCTTCCGCCTTGGCCGAGGAGCTGGCCGACGTTTGGCAGTGCTACTCCTTAGCTGTGGCCCGGTTGGAAGCTCTCCGGCCGAAACAGAGTCATAAGAACACTAGTAGTATTTATAGCAGTTTTTGGCGATTGTAGTATTAACAAGAATAAACATGACGATTATAGTCTTAAGAATTATAAGCATGAGATTAATGATAAGAATAATTCAGACAGAAGTGCTTTGATCAGCTGAGGCTTTGGCGAGTTTGCTGCAGCAGGACGGTGCTTCAAGCGTAAGTGCAGCCATCGTTCATTCTAACAAGGCACACCACTTGTACTGCTCTCAGTTATTGAAGGGTTGTTTCGGCGCTCACTCCCAGACATGCGAGGCGAGGGTTCTTGGTGCGCATTCGGTTGGAGCTGCGAACTGTTTTTGAGTTTGGGCGACAGCACCTGACAACAGATCCTCATCTAGCCGTCAGAATGCCATCGCGCTGTTCCAGGTTTAGGTTGACACTTTCGAATCTTTCGAAGGTGTGCTTGTGTCTGGGTTAGTTTTGGAGATGAGGATGACAGAACGGAAAGGGAGAGAGCTGGCAAGCTTTGCTGAAGGCTGAACAAGTTCGCAGATCCCTCTACTTCCTTTCAATGCGTAGAAGCATCAGGTCTGTTTAATGCTGCCAGAAGTGCGGCCATCGGCCAGAATGCTCCATCAGCAAATCGTTCAAACGCCATGCTGCCGAACCGCTTGAGCTGATAGCTGCAACAATCGCGATAGCCGAAGGATCATCTCATCCTGAACTGCTGGCACTACCTCATACCTCAACTTTCTCATCCAGCAGACAAGGGCGAAGTCGTAGCAGGTGGACAACAGGGCGAAGGCAGACCTGGAGTGAAAGCATTGCATGCACGACCAATATGTTTCCTTCGGATGCAACATCTTTGCGAGGTGACTTGGATCTCAGCTATCCGCAGCGCGTGGCTTGCTGTGCCGATGGGTCCCTGCTCGTAGCGGATCCAGAAAACGACCGCATCTGCCGGTGGAGGAAACCTGCGATGTTTTTCGTTGCACCTTTCCGCATTAAGTTCTTCGGCTGTCCATCGAGCTTTGGAGGAACGGTCGCGGTCAGCCGCTGGGGGAGTTCAGCAAGGCTGAAGACGATGACTCTGTCAGCTATGCAGTTCCTTGGTGTCTCTGGTCAGCGCCCAGAAGCTTTGAGCATCAGTCGGCTTACTACTGATGTTCTCCTCAGCTTCAGCCGAACTGCCCAGCGTTCCCCACACTCGGACTTGAGGTGTGCTTGGACTGTGACGGCTCCATCGTTGCCACTACGTATCAGGGCCTGGCTCGTTGGGACTGGCGTGTTGGAGAGGAGACGAAGTTCTGTGGGTCGCAAGATTGTGAGAAGTCCCGATTTTAGCAGCTAACAACAATCAGGACCGCTTGTGCCAAGAGGCTGCAGCTGCGAATTTGGCGGACCATTGCGGTCTTTGTGCAAGCCCAGAGGGCGTTGTGGCTACTCGCTTGAATGTACTCGCATTTCATGAATCTGTCAAGTCTGTGGCCAGAGTTTCCGAGAAGAGTCAGTTGAACAGCAGTTGCAACCTTGGGTGTTTTCGTGCCCCATCCCCGAGCTTGTCCCAGTGCCAAGCCGGTCTTGAAGCAGATGCTAGGTCGTTCTGATCGCGAATAAATAGCTTATGACGAGTGGTGCTGTACTCAATGCAGACCTGGACAGTGCAGTCTGCAAGAGTCTGGTGAGGTTGCCGATCATCTGCTGCACGGCTGCACCGACTCGGTGAAATATGCAACGGTTTCTTTGGACACGGTTGCAGATTTGCGGAATCCACGGACGCAAGCACAACTTGGCAACAATTTTCCTAGGAATGGGAGAGTGGTTCGATTCCTCCACCGAGGCGTGGATTCACGAGCACGGGCTTTGCTGCCGCTGTTTTCTTTTCCATTGTCTATCGTTATCATTGCTCCCACTTCGAATCAAACGTCGGACGCAAGAAGCAAACTGCTAGAAAAAAGTGTGAACGAACGAAACGAGCCGGCAAATGGAAGGTAGCAGCAGGCACCAGCTGCACAATCGCCTTGGTTGTTGCGTTTGGATATTCCACGCATGGCGCCTAGATTGGTGCTGCATAGTCTTGCGCCCGTTGCATCGGAACACGTGGGTCGGCCTACATCACAGGCGTAGGTGGAGGTGGGTCGGTGCGAGACAGAGAGAGGGTTGTGTCGATACACTAACGTAAAGCTTGTTGCAGTCAACATCCCATTTAAGCTTTCACACGCCTCCAATGGCCCGCAGATGCGGGCGGGCAAACTGCCCAGGGGCCTGACCCGCCCCCAATGCCTAGGAGAAGAGATTGTGTGTGTGTGTGTGTGTGTGTGGGTGGGTGGGTGGGTGGGTGGGTGTGTTTGTGTGTGGGTGGGTGTGTGTGTGTGTGTGTGTTTGTCTGTCTGTGTGTGTGTGTCTGTCTGTGTGAAATTGGGCTAGGGAGAACGTGAGTTTGTGTTGTGTGTAACATGCTGAGAGTCCTTTACCTGTACCTCAGCCAACGACGGCGACATGTGCAACGCGCCGGATCGCTTACAACATCTTCGGGATGCTGGAAACTACTCAGAACGTGTGTTGGTGTGTGGGTGACGACTGGTTTGTTCAAGATGCGCCAGTCCAGATAGTATGCACATGAAGCACATGAATGAAGTCCGGCCAGCAGGAAGGCCTAGCAGTGCTGGAATGTCGCTGTGGTTGTGGATATGGTGCGGAGTTCGTATGGAGTTCGTGCACAGGAGGCTGCACATGTCTTCTCCATGATTGCCAGCACAGCAGCTTGCTTCCAGTCCCGAAGTTTGCACACCCACCTTGCCATCGCCTCCTAGCGACCACTGTGTGCACGTTCTGGCATTTGAGCACATGCAATACTCTTGATCAGGTCCGTATTTTTGTCACGTTATCTGCAGCTATCAACATGCGTAGTTTTCTCGGGTCTTAACTGTTGCCCACCATGTGCGGCAATTGAATGCTTGCTGTAATGCAAGTCACATCCAGTAGTGTTACTGCCCCTATACCATTGCTACGATCATTGAAATTGCAATTTCTCTTACGGGCACCGTTGCCATTACTACTCTTCCTGCATCTTCCAATCAGAATCTCAGCAAAACGAGTTGCTTTTGCCATCAATTGGTCATCGGCACCACTCTTACTTCTGTGGCGGCTATGGCCACTACCATCGCCACTAGCAGTAGCACCACCACTTGTATTGTTGCCACAGCGTAAACTTCTCGAAGTAGTATTTCTGCGGAAAGCATCGCCCACTTCAAACGCACAGGTGGTTTCGAGGAACTGATCCGACAAGGCGACACATGTCGTGGACGCGCTTTGGAGCGGCCCTGCGATGTCACCTTCGGCCCAGGTGAACTTGGCAATATTTGCGCGGGTTGGTGCAATTGTAGAAGCGTCATTTCTGAAATTCCGGCTGGATGATGGAAGTAGACTCCAAGTAACACAAGGCGCAAGATATGTAACCATCGCTGGTTTCGAGACCGATGCAAAGGATGGGGTTTCAATGGAGATGTGGGAAACAGTTTAAGGCATTCAGAGCTGCTCCTGGCAGCAGTGATTCAGGGCGCTTGACTACGGGTTGCATGGGGAGATGTGTGAAAATCACTTGAAGGTGGCTCTCTCCTAGTTGCGGACCGGACGGCCGGGCGAGTGCTCTGTCGCACTCCGCGGGGCGAGCTGTCCATTGTCGCAGACGGGCTTGCCGGGCCCTACTCACTTGTGCCCTGGTCAGGTTTCAACCGTTCGTCGATGTCAATCAACTCGCCAATTGAGCCGTGTTTTTTTTCTACTGCGCAATTTCATTAAGACGATGCTGAGCGGTATGAATGAATTGTTTCGGCCGAAGAAACTTGCACGGGACTGTGTGCGCGGAAGCAAGCTCAAGCTCCGCGGATGCTGCACCTAAAGAAAAGTCATCCAGTGCCCTTTATGCCAACACTCGTGTATATGAAGGTAGACTAGCATCTTATAGGGCATTGGCTCTACCTGATGTGCTTTTTGATGCACAGTGGGAACAGCTATCATCCTTGGGATAGGCCAGCAGGATTCAGAGTTATCCATCCTTGTCAGAGGCATGCTCGTCAGCAACACCACCAGCTTACTGTTATCAGGTTCTTGCCCTGTCCATGCACGAGTACTTGCAAGCTTTACTAGCATCATGGGGGAAGAGGAATGACATAGCAGCGTTGTCATGATCATGATGATTATCATCATCTTCCGAATTCAATTTTCAGGACGGTAGGGGACGTGTGCGGGAGCTCCGCGGATGAGGACCCCTGGAAGCTGATCCCCAGCCCAGCCAATCTCAAGTTGCAGTCATCGCGATGGTTGCATTCCTTCGTAATCGGAATTTATGCAAACCCCTAAGCCAGAAACATTGCACACGTACACACACACACACCCACCCTATATCATAAGTACTCGTATTCACAAGCTGATTGACAGAAAACAGATGCGCATGCACTATATGAATCAGTATTGCAGCCCGCATGGCCCGAAACCGAAGCCTTGGTCAAGCAGAACGAGATCTTGGCAGACTTCGTGGAACAAACCCAGCCGTATGCTATCTCTGAAGTGCAGGGGTTGCTATCAGACCTGGCACAATGTTTGCAGCAGGAGTACCGTATTGGCAACCTGCCGAAATTTTCCTCCTTCCAAGGGCTGACACCAAATTTTGGATTGGAAACCGGAAGCCTGTTCCCAAGGGCGTAAACCGGAAGTTGCCGAAGCCGAAAGCCACCGACCTAAGCCTCTTCAGATGTGCTTGTGTCTTCGCACGCTTTATGTCAGCTGCATCAACATTCCAAATGTTTTTACTTTGCTGGTGTTTCATGCTATGCACGAAGTTTGCCCAAACAAAAGCCTCCTCAAGACTTGAGCCCGTACTTGCGGAAGCAAACTCAGCGAAAAAGGCGCGGAAGGGAACCGCGGAAGCGATATACAAGTTGAAGCTCGCGGCTCGCGGAAGCTATAGCCTCACCGGGGAAGGGCTTCCTTCTCGCCCTCCACACACAGGAATAAAAACCACAGCTCAATTGTCGGAGGTGTTTTCTGCTCTTGGTGCGAAATTGAGTGGGCAGGATGGTCAGACAGACAGAGACACTGCAGGCACGATGCGGGCAGTTCCTATACGTGGGACAGTTCAAGACTATGAACGCGCCTTATGTTGCACATATGTTTAGTTGCGATTGTTGGCACCCTGGCAACTTGGCGGCGTTTGTTTCAGTACTGACACCAAGGTAGTGAGAATTGATCTTCGTTGCGGTTCGATCGAGGACGGGCAGTGGGCTGCAGTACCGAATGCATCTTCCCCAGATTTTCCGACCCGTCTTGTGCTTGCAGACAACCCCGGGGCGAGGGAAAGGCAGCTCCATCGAATAAGAGGTCTCAGTATTGTCAGAGCAGCGTGGCCTCAGCCGAAAACTGGTGGAGGACTGGCGTTCTATCAGAGGGCCCACCGGGCCCTTCGGCACGGAAGCTGAGGTGTCGGAGGTTCCAGCAGAGCATTTCGAGGTTCTCGCGGTTGCGGCTGCGTCAGCCACAACCGGCCTGTTGCAAATGTTGAGAATTTCTCGAATCGGACCCTCAGGATCTGCTTTGATGCCGACTGCTCCTCGGAATCCAAGTACTTGTAATTAGACGGCTGGTTTCTGGATGGAATTTGACTTGACGGAGCTCATTGCTCACCTGCCTCGTGACACATCTGACAGCTGCAGGCAATCTGTACGTCACTGAGAAACTCATGCACAGAGTCTTGCGCTTTCCCGCTGAATTCGCTTGATCCGGATTTGACGCCTTGAAAAGAGCTTCTCGCCATTGCTCACAACGTCGAACCCGCATAAAAAGAGCACGTGCTCCAGCTTCTTAGACAAGACTAAATTCCTGCATCCGACGACGAATGAATGAATGAGGATCAGGCCTTGTACATATGAAGTTGTACATAGCTGGACGGCGCCCTCTGCTTTTTTGCGCTGAGGCTGTCTCACGCGGTGGCTGCAAGCCGGCATTCTTTCAAGACAGTCAAGATTGATGCATAGCTGTTGAGACCACGACAATGTAGAAAACCTGAGCCAAAGGAAGCTCTTCAAGCACATTGGAAAAGGGCTGAAATTCTGAAAGGCGGCTGCAGCAAAGCCACGGTTGCAAAGAGGTCATGACCTGTCCAAAGCGAAGTGCGGACTGCCGAGCTTCGCTGGCAGGTCGCATCAGGCAGCAGGTCTGAGAGGGAGCTCGACACGCCCGAGTCCAATATCAGGTCTTGCAGTTGGCAGTTTTAAAAGGTAGTCGGTAGTTCCCTATAGTTCCATCATGCGCCACCCATCGATATCAAGCTCGACAAGCGGTCGAAATTGATACCCAGGCCTCAAGAACAAGCCTTCTCCAGGCGGAACAGCAAGGAAGCGGCTGCGCTGCGTAGCGAGTGTGCTTCGCTTTTGGTTGCTTGAAGCGGGATTCCAGTGAGTTACACAGTCCCAAATTCCGAGGAATTCAGTGACTTCGAGCGAATTGGAGCACGATTTCCATAGCTGTCCACCAAAGACACACCAAACTTGCCCTGTTGCGGCAGCGAGCGTGATGCATCCATATATAATTAAATAACATATAATATATTATATTATATTATATTATGTTATATTATACTATGTGATATAATCTGTTATAGTTCAATTTGTATATGTATATGTATATATATATATTTATTTATTTATTTGTTTGTTTATTCATTTATTTAATAGTAACAATTATAATATACCTTTTGAATTAGAACTGTTATAGTCTAATATAATATAATGTGATGTAATGTAATGTCATACTATGTTCGCGTCATCCTGAGAGGAGCCCATCGATGAGGCGGATGCGGCTCTGCTCCGTGAGCTCATCCGTGGTGCCAGGATCTCACCGAGACTCAGAGGGTTTAGGGTTTGGGGCCCCGAACACTGTCCTGCACCGCTTTGAGGTCTACGAGCGCCGCAACCCATCGAAAATGCTGAAGCGTCTCGGCCGCTCACATGGTCATAAAGATAAGATAACACACCCGAATGCAATGTCATACTGCATGATATAATGTAATGGTATAGTTCCGCCGCATTGGCTCTGGGTCCGCGACTGTGAAGGCTTCCGTCCATCTTCAAGAAATACTCTGGCCTTGAGGCAGAGGCAGATGCCGTATGAGCACAAAGCTTTCAAAGCAAAGGTCAGATGCACTTGCTACTTGCAGGTCTATTGGAAAGCATGCTGGCTTCTGAGCAAACTGTGCTGCAGACGCTGAGTTTGAGTACTTCTGCATGGGTGGCAACCGGTCGTTCATCAAGGTCGGAAGTACAACGAGGCGCCGGAGATAGATCTGAGTCGTGGGCTCGTTCGTCAAACCTGTATGACAAGAAACTTCGGCTTTTGCCTGAGGCCGCTTCGGAATCATAGAGGAGTCGTCAGAGCTGCCGCAGGCATGGAACATTTCAGTGCAGACACAGTGTCACATCCCCCATGATGCCCCATGGGAACCTGGGCCCGAGCTCTAACTTCCCCGTCCCCAGAGTGCCAGGCCGTAGCTTCTCGAGGCTACGCTGGAGCCTGAGATGAGAGCACAGGCCGCGGCATCCGTTTGCATCAGACTGGCCAAAGGCCAAGAAGGCGAGCGCCCCACCGCCGCGGAATGGGTCTGACAAGCAGCGCCGCTGCAACTCAGACATTTCTTTGGTGATTCTGTCGACGTTCGGGGCCGTGAAGGAAAAGGCGGTAAGGAATCTGTCAGGAACAGGAGCGATGGCATGCAGAGAAAGGGAAAACATGCAAGCTTCAGATGTAGCCCGCTTTCGCCGGTCGGACATGACGTGGGTTGGGAAGACCATGCCATTTTCCCGACTCGTGTACACCCTTGTTCTGGCTCCCTTGACTTCCTCAGTGCCCAGTTTGGTGCTGTTGTTGCAGCGCTTGTGATCCTGAGGAAAGCGAGGCGGCAAAACCCACCCATCGAAGGACGGGAACCAGTAGGAGCATGAGCGGAGGTGCTTGGAAGATCGCTCCAAGGACCAAAGCCAGGGAGTGGTGGAGCTTGGCCTTTCGAGGAGGACGTGTGGCAGAGGTCTGATATGGTCTGATACCGGTTACTTGGCTTCACTGACCACATTCCCAATACTGAGAGGACTACGAAGGCAACTCTTCTGGGTCATCTGATGATCGGGATGCACATAGCAGGCGGATCCTTCCATACATGCTTCGGCATGGGCATTGTGTCCCTGCATGCATGCTCACGACGGAGTACTCACTGCTTGATGGCAAACACGATTGATGATTCCTTCGTGGCTGTCATTCCAGTTCGTAGTCGAGGATGTCGTGGTTTCTCAGTCTCAGGGCGAGACAGCTGCATGACGCTGCAACAGGTTTACTTTCCAACTTATATATGCCTGAGCCCATGTGAAGGGTAGGTACGATCTGCGATAAGATATTCCGTACTGGAGGGCGCGCATTGCAGCCCCTCCTGAAAAAAGGGGCTTCGATCATTCAGCTTCGATCGTGCTGGCTTGGCCTCTCAAACGAACAGGCCGCCTGGCCTTTGGCAGTGTGCCCCACCGCCTTGGGGAGTACCAACCTGGTCTGGGTATGCGGGCATCTCAGCCGGACGTCACACAGTCGGAAGATGACATTTGTTGTCATGCATTGAAGTGCTTTCCGACACGGCATTCTCCGTTTGCATCTTCATTCTTGTGTGTTTTGGTTTCTCTCCCTCTCTCTCTCTCTCGCTGCTCTCGCTGTCTGTCTGTTGACCTGTCTACAGTATGCGTACAGTGAGCTGACGGGCTGAGGCCTTCATGCGTCCTTATAGCTTAATAGGAACAAGAACCATGCATTCGCCAAAAAAAACTTGGTACGGCAACATGCATGCAGACGTCTATTGGGGTTCAGCTATATTCGGACATGGCGGCAGTACGTCGTGAGGGCTACCTTTCTTAGTGAGAGATGCCCACCCCCATTACACAGAACTCGGCGCAGCCATGCTAGACCTTAAATTGTTGGCGAAATCGTTACCAGAGCGCGGAACAATATGCTTGTTGTGGAGGCTCAGCCGGTGGCGAGCCCTGGTGCATGGGTGCCGCCGTCAGGCCCGCGTCCGGGGGTAAGTGAATCCTCTTGACATGCTGGTTTGGGGGGCCGGAACACGAGCCACTGCAAGATGGAAAGGTTAGGTAGGCTAAGAGAGTCCTGCTCGCGATTGCTCGCGGGCTCAACACCTCAAAACAAGAGCATGGCACGGTTCAAAGCTCGGGGCATGAACGCAGCAAAATCCCTTGCCCTTGCGTCGATGGGTCTTCGCGTCTGGGCTGAGGGACAGGAGTTTGGCAATGCATGCGCTGCAGCATACGGGGCAGATGTTGCGAAATGGCGAACGCTGTCAGGCGTGCCAACTGAGTATTCTCCAAGAGGTCACAGACCCGACTGGTACTGGGAGTTTCTTCTGAAGAATCAGCGCAATGGAAGGTCCGACTCCGACAGAGTTGCGAAGCTGCAACTGGATGACGTGGGTTATGGGGATTCCTGGCTTGAGGTGTTGTTCGGACAGGCACAAGAGGGAATGATTGGATGCTCCGTCCACGGTGGCCGATATTGGGAGGCTACAGTCGACCTGCCGAAGCTCCTGCTGCTGCTGCCATCTTCTAATCGTTCGGTCTTCTTAGAGAAAGTGGTCGGAATCACACCACCAACCCTGAAAGATGCCATTCTTGCCGGCTTCCTCCCGCCCAGCCTACGGCTGGCCATGTGTGTGCCCTACGACTGCACAGGAAAAGCGATCGTCAACAGGATTTTCCCAGAGTTTGAGGCAGAGAAACTATTTGGAGCGGAGGTGGCCGGTTTGCTGAACGATGCCATTTCGGCTGATGTTGTGGTGGTCGAAGAGCTGCTGAACTGGCCATCCTTGCAGCTGGACTTTGCAATCGCGGGCCTGGACAACTGCGGCACGACATCTTTACACAGAAACCTCAATCAGCATCCGGAGATTGCGTTCTCAACCACCTCTGAAGACTTCTTCTTCACAACTGAGGTCGTTCACCGACTTTTGCCGCTCAAGTCGCAGGTCCAGGAATTCAACCGCCGAATGGAAATGGCCAAAGACAAGAAGTTGCAGGATACCCTTTGCTGAGTTGCAAACCGAAATCTGCAGCTCCCTCCCGCTTGTTGCGTCCTTAGTCGGGTTGAGGCATTGGGGAAGAGTTGGACATGTGGACGGATAGTCGCAGGTAGAAGCACCTGCTGCTAGTTGGTAATCTCACCCTGCACTGCATTTCCCGAGGAGACAGGTATTCGACCGCATCTCGCTGGCATTTGTTCCCCGACTCTCTTTGCGTACGGCTTGGCGAGGATGGGCCTTGCACTGGTAGGTGAGGCCAAGGTAGTCATGAGCGTTTGCGACCCGCTTGGGCGCCTGGAGCGCCATTTTATGGAGTACAGGTACTGCCACAACCACAACGACACCTTGGGCCTGGAAGTGGCCAAGCAGCAGTTGCTTGCGTCACCGATAAGCACTCGGGAAGGCTGCTTCTCGAGTGCCTCCGCCCTATGGGAGGAACGCCAAACTGATGCGATGCGTCGGCTTTGGGACGCCACTGCCACATCGCAGCACCTGGGTTCCATGATGGCCCTGTTCTTTGGCCGCCTTCTACCTATGCATCGAGAGTTCCTCCATGAACCTGACAGAACGTATTCGATTGTCGCCGCTTTCCTTGGAGTGAGGTATACATACCCCGAAAAGACAGTCTTTGGTCATTTCAACGCTGTGGGTGGACATCGCACAGATCTATGCAAGAATAAATCGCTTGTTCGTCGGTTGCAACGGCAGCTTGAGCCGGAATACCAGGCTAGCATACAGTTTCTTCGTCATGCTGGAAGCCCAGTGCCCGAGAGTCTTAGCAAGCGCTTGACGCGCTGCAAGTCTGCCGACGTTCTCGAGGTCCGGTGTCCAGGGCGCGAGACTGCTTGCTGACACTAGTTTGCTTCACTCGCAGTTCTGGTGAGCCTGACGAAAAAGCGGAAGCAAGCTATTTACGAAGCAGTCGACCTTGAGCGGATCTTGGTGCTTCGTCTCAGCTCTGTGCGAGCATAGATTGAACTTGGAACCTTTCGACTCGCAGACGAGCAGTCCCCACTGCAGTAACACCACACCTCACGCCATAGCCCCAACAAGAGGCCGGACCCTCTGCCGAGCCCGGGCATGGGTCACATGGCTGTGTCCGTTTTGGTCCTGAGCTTCGGAACCGCTCACGTAGCTTGAGTTGGCGTAGAGAAGCTGGTAAGGATAAGCAAGATCCTGGTAAGAGCAGCGGGGATAGCACTAGCAGGGTGAGAAGATGTGAGAAGTGAATTCTAGTAATTTCCCAGACAAGCTCCGGGGTCTGGCGCCACCAGCTGAGATCCCGAGCACAGATAGTTAAAGTTTGAACAGATTCCTTTCGAACACATTTCCGATGCTCCATCGATCTCCTGTGAGCACGCTCTCCCTAGTGGCCGAGTGTCGAAGGCCGAGCCGAGCTCCCCCAAAAAGTGGTGCATCCACGCAGGCAGCCCCGGCGCCTGGGTTCCTCCCCCTGCAGCAAAGGCAGCGCGGTTGAGCTCAGGTGGAAGAGGAAGGATTAGAGCCTGAATCACTGGACGGGTGGACCTGCGGCTTGGGGTGACCATTGCTTTTCTTCGGTTTCTGGGGGCTGTAGCACAGTCGTCAGCCATGCTAGGAGGCGCCAGATGCAAGAACACCCACGACTAGTTCACGAATAATATGCGAAAAATAATGCTGGGTTTGCTGCTGATCTGGTAGTAATACTTCTGGGTGTGCACCTGTGGGCTTCACTGTCGAGACGCCGACCCTACCCTCGCACTTGCTCTGTGGCTTTCACTCGTATATTACAGAACCCGTCTTGTAACCCTTTTACAAGTATCTAATGCTCTAACACCAATAGGTGTGTGTATATTTATTTATTTAGATTAGATTAGATTAGGTTAGATTAGATAGATAGCTAGATAGATGGAGAGAGAGAGAGAGAGAGAGAGAGAGAGAGAGAGAGAGAGACTCCCTCCGAAAGCCCCAATAACAGTTGGGGGGCCAAGTGGCCGGGGGGTTTAACAGACCCCTCATGCCCTGGGGTAGGAGAGAGAGAGAGAGAGAGAGAGAGAGAGAGAGAGAGAGGGAGAGAGAGGGAGAGGGAGTGTGTGTGTGTGTGAGAGAG